TTCAGCAGGGTCTGCGATGGGCAGCCGGACTGTGCCCACGGGAGCGACGAGGAGCACTGCAGTGGAGGTAAGGAGGGGACAGTGCTGGGCTGAAAATATCCTGTGCTGCAGCCAAGGCTGTGGGTAGCATACTTCCCCCTTGTGAGGCAGAGGCTCCAGCTGGGAGCTGACACGCCTGACCTGCTCACAGTGCTTGCCCTGTAGCTGACTGAGCTTGCTCGGGAAATTCCCTGTCATCTTTTATGGAGTTCCCCCATCTGTCACCTTTTCCCCCCTCTCAAAGGATTTCAGCTTGTGTGCACCTTTCCTCAGCCTTGGCTTCCCTTTCTCTTTGCAGGGGTCCCCTGTGGTCCCTTCACCTACCGCTGTGAAGATGGGACCTGTGTGAAGAAGCCCAACCCCCTGTGTGACACCACTGCAGACTGCGAGGACCTGTCCGACGAGCAGCGCTGTGGTGAGGAAATGCTCAGGTGCACATCAGCCAGGCTGGCTCAGGATGCCACAGAGCTGCAAGTCGCCCCCTTTTCCCCCTGCCAACCCAACATAAGCACTCACCCTCCCTTGTTCCACCACCTTCTCCCTACCCCAGCCCCACGGCAGCAGTTCCACGGCTCCACCCTGCAGTGGCAGGGGCAGCAGCAACGAGGCAGGTCTCTGTGCTGAGCTGTGAGCAGGCATTTGCTCTTTGGACAGCTGCTCCCCATCTCCTTCTGGCAGAGGCATCAGGCCAGATAGACGTGTCTCACAGGCCAGGTCCTACCCAAGGGCTGCCCGCTGGACCACTCTGCTGGCTTGTGTGAAGTAATGCCATCCTGCAAGGCTCCAGCCAGGGAAATCACTGGCACAGGCAGGGAGAGAGCTTGTGTTCTGATTTCTCTGCTTGGTTTCTCTGGAGCCCTGGTGGGCAGCAAAAGGGGAGGACTGTGAGGGTTCCCCTGCCCCAAAGGCATCCCCAGGTTGCAGCTGGAGGTGGGGTAAGGCTGTGCAAGCATCAGTGGAGGCACGTTCTGGGAGGGAGTGTTTGCTGGGCCTATCCTGGATAGCACATAAAGCACCAGCTGGCTGGGTAAGGCAAGGGATTAAAGATCAAACTCATCAGTCCATTAAGTAGGAAAGGAGGGCAGGCACAGCATAGCATGTTTCCTTCCTCCCCTGAAGTAACTTCTGTGTCTCCTCCTCCTCAGACTGTGGGCTGCAAGCTCCCCTCAACAGGATCGTGGGGGGTGCAAATTCCGTGGAAGGGGAATGGCCATGGCAGGCCAGCCTGCAAGTTCGGGGACGCCACATTTGTGGGGGGACGCTCATTGCTGACCGCTGGGTGGTCTCAGCCGCTCACTGCTTCCAGGATGAGAGGTAAATGGAGAGGGGAGGGTGCTGGAGAGGAGGACCTGCCTTGCTTCTTCCCGTGTCATGCATGATGGGAGAATCATCCAGCTTGTGAAGATGTCACAGGGCAGCTGCAGCCCTCGTCTGGCACCTGTTCCATGCTTCTCCGTGGCTTGGAGCTGGAAAAAGGAATATAGATAAACACACTAGTGTTTGGGTGTGCACGTGGGGAAAGAGGGGCTGTTCTGGGATTCACAGAGCAGCTTTGAGAGGGCAACAGTAGTAGAAGACATTTCACAGCTCTGCCCTTGCCTCGTCCTTGGCTTGTACACATCCTGTCACAACCCTAGAGATGTCAGCATGTGCTAGGCTAGGTCTAGGATAGCATTAGCTGTGGAGGATGCTGTTTGGGTCTCATGATGCCCACCTGCAGGGCCTGCCCCTTCCAGGAGGAAGCATGGTCTCCCTCCCAGTTCCTTCCACCCAGCACACATACCAGCAGTAACATACAGGTCAGGGGGGGTTCACCCATTCTTTCAAACTGGGAAGTAGTGGGGAGGAGGAAGGTCCACAGCTATGCTGGGGAGGGGAGGGGGAGGCACTCTCAGGCCCAGTCTCCACCTCCTCCAAACTTCCCTTTTCCTCTGCCAGTGAGCTGGGGGGGATCCCCTACCTTCCCAGCTGCTACTGCTGGACTTTCCCAGCTGCCTTTTCCCCTGATGCTATGTGAGTTCAGGCAGAGGAGCTGCTGGTCATCCTTGGTATCCTGACACCAGTCTTGATAGGACAGGGGCTGCTTTCTTTGCAGTTGCTCTTCTCATGTCACCCTGTTGCTGCCATGCTCCTACCTGTGTCCTACAACCTTGCAAGAAAGCCCACCAGCACTGGGAGCAGGTCTTTCAAGTGCCCCATATGGGCTGAATTTGGCCGTTTTGGAGTTTCCCAATGCAGGATGGATGGAACTAGCACCTCACTGTTGGCACATGTCAAGGAGAGAATTTAAGTGGTGTGAGAGAGAAGTACAGGAAAAAAGGAGGAGCAGAAGTACAGCAGCAGCCTGAGATGGGCCATGCTATGGGCAGCAGCTTGTGCAGGCAATAGGCTGGAGTTGAGCCCTGAAGGGGAGTTTGCAGCAAGAGAAATTATCAAACCAAACCAGGAAGCTTTTTGCACCCAGAGGGGCAGTGTGGGACAAAACAACATGTGTAAAGCAAAAGGTGCACAGCACTCTGAGTCTAAAACCATTCTTCTTCTTGCTTCCTCCTGCTCTGGTCCAGGGCGAGCTCTCTGCTTCTCACCCTCCTGCTGGAGACAGTCTCCTTTGGCTTTTAGCTCTTAGCTGTTATGTTCTCAGAGGTGTCACAGAGGTCCTGTAAAGGGCTGTCATGCCTTTTAATGCCCTCACCTCTGAGCTGCTTTTCTCACCTCACTCCCTCTTAGAAATTTCTCAGAGCTGGCTCCCCTTCTCCACGTCTCCTTCTCCTTGCACTTTTGCTTCACCAGCTCAGCTCTTGCTCTCTGCCCTGTCATAGTCCCTTGTACATAATCAGCCCCTACCCTAACCTTTTAGCCTGCTTTGCTAGGGAAAATAAGCAAATATGAGCAAATTGCCTGTGGGTATGAGTGTCTGCCCAAATCTTGTCCAACAGTACAGGCACATCAAGGCATCAAAGAGATGTCCCACCTAGTTTCTTGAAATCAGTAACCAAATTAAAAAAAAAAAAAAGAGGCCCCTCTGAGGGAGATGATCATCCATATCAGAGATTCCTCAAAAGTCTGTGACAGAAGCAGACAGGCTCTGCCCATCCTTCTCTGTTCAATTAATGAGTTATCTTCTCTGCTGTGTCCTACAGACTGGCCTCCACCTCCATCTGGACCGTTTACTTGGGCAAATATTTTCAAAATGCCACCAGCCACACAGAGGTGTCCTTCAAGGTGATACACCTCTTCCTCCACCCTTATTACGAGGAGGACAGCCATGATTATGATGTTGCCCTGCTCCAGCTGGACCATCCTGTGATCATCTCACCTTTAATCCAGCCCATCTGCTTGCCTGCTCCTTCTCATTTCTTTGAGCCTGGCCTTCATTGCTGGATCACTGGCTGGGGAGCCCTCAAGGAAGGCGGTAGGTGCAAGGTTGCCTACTGTAGCAGAGCCAACGTGAAAACATAGGTTCAGATGTGGGGTAGGCAGAACAGGCTTCTGTTCACCCCAAAGCATTATGTTTTCTTCAGCCCCTTTGATTTTGGGTCACGAGTTGGCCAAAGTTAACTGCTGAGTGCCTTGAAACCTCATTCAGAGAGGCAGGCATGAGAGACAAGTAATCCATATGGGGACAGCATGTGATCCTTCATCCAAAGATTAGAACAGCTCTTCAAGAATTAGGGGTTTGTCTAGTGGCTATTCAGCCATGAATGTATGGAGAAGCCCCAGTCTCAAAGACCAGCCCCATACTTAACACAGACATGTGAGGAATCTGTTGGGTTGCTCCCCAAGGACAGTGTCTGACTGGAGAAAGCTGAGATTAAAAAACTGCATTTCATCAAACCAGGACTGGGTCTCCTGGGAACAGCTGTTTGCAGCCCCTGTAGCAACATTTTCCCCATGTCAAAGACCATAGCACCTGGGTCCCCCCAGCAACACCTGTGCTAGTAAATTCAACAGGAGCAGCACAGGGTGCCCTGAGGAACACACTGTGTAATTGTGAACATGCACTCTGGTATCATTTGACTATTTTGACTACAGAGCATCCACACACTGCTGGGGGACAGGATGGGCATTGGACAGATGATGCCAGTAGAGAACAGAACAGAAATTCAGATGGCAGCTTTCAGTGAGATGGGCCTGGGCTGGGAGGCCACAGTAAATGGTGGGAAGCTTCACCATTGCTCACGTGCACTAACGTTGGCACTCTACTCTTCAGGGCACATCAGCAATGTTCTGCAGAAGGTGAACGTGGAGCTCATCCAGCAGGACATCTGCAGTAAGGCCTATCACTACATGATTTCACCCAGGATGCTGTGTGCTGGGTACCACAAGGGCAAGAAAGATGCCTGCCAGGTGAGAGAGGAATTGTGGGACTAGGGTTGACTACCAAAGGTGGGGTGTGTCCCAAGTTCTCCCATATACACTCCATAGCCTGAAATGGTGGTGAAAGACCATAAAATGCCTACTGTCCAAATACTTCCTCTGATCTAAGTGGTGAACAACAGGTCTCTGGACCACAATTTTCCCATCCCTTAGGCAGGATCCAACTACACTTACACTTCTCCTTTTCCTATTTCAGCCCATTTTGGTCCCAAACCATTCCATGATTCTGATTCTCCACTCTTTACCTCCCAATTTCAAGTAATATGCCTACATCTTGGCCCTCAGCCTCTTTAGTAACCTGTCTGTTCCTTCATTATCTCAAGGAATTCCTCTGTCTCCCATCCCTCTGGGTATCCAGTTAAATTCCATCAGCTTCCTTGCTCTCCACATATTTGGAAATGCTGCACAGAGCAGAAGGAAATAATTGAGCTGTCAGCTTCTTGGACCTGTCTAGGGGGAGAAATTGGCATGATGAAGGAATGCAACAATTGGGAGGATATTTGCACTGGAGGCTGTTTTTGACATCTGCCTAAGGTACAAGGAATGTTGCAGATGTCCCAGGGATGAGCTGAGGAGAAAGAGGAATCTGCACACAGAGGGCATTTAAAGTCAGTGTAATCATCTAGCAGGAGAAGCTGGTGGATCCACCATCACCCCATTTTCCTTTCCCTTTCTCTAGGGTGATTCTGGAGGTCCGCTGGCCTGCAAGGAACGCAGTGGCAGGTGGTTTCTGGCTGGTTTGGTCAGCTGGGGAATGGGATGCGGACGTCCAAATTACTATGGAGTATACACCAGGATTACTCAAGTGCTGGGCTGGATGAACCAAACCATGAACTGAGAAAAGTGCATCTCTGCCTTCTCCCCATCAGACCTACGCTCACATGGCACTCATTCCTGATCTTGCTCATTTGCCTCTCAGAGAGAATTTCTGTGTGGGATGTTGTCAGACCCAGGATGCTCTTCTGAGCTGGGTAAAAAAAAAAGCCTGCACTGGGGATTGTAGAGAAAAACAGGCAAACTCTCTTCCCCCTCAGTGCTTCCCAAGTAGCATCCTAAGGTGTTTTTAGGCCACCCATCCAAAACAGTTGGCAGTAGGGGGTGGGGACATGACACACAATGACAGTCCCAAGTTGATGGTTTCTGAGGAAAGGAATAAGGGGAGTTGAACTTTCCATGAACCATGTGATTCAGCCACAATCTTATGTTGTAACATGTGCTGAAAGAGAATGTGACTGATGTAGTTAGAGATTCCAGTAACTGTGAAATCAATCTGCCTCCCTCTTCCTTCCTGCTGCTCAATCCTTCTTCCCTCTTCCCCACCCATCACTCCTCCTCTTCCATCTCCCTAATGCTTCTTTTCTTAGCTGGCATGTGCTGCTCAGTGTGCTGTTGAGCTCAGCCGAGCAACTCTTCACATCTCACTGACTCCCAGGCATAAGACCAGCATAACACCCCCAAGCACATGTCCTGCCTCCCTGCTGGAGCAGCACCCAGCCCCCACTGCTGCACTTGGGCTCCCTCAGGCAAAGGGAAGGCCCAGCCCCTCGGTAGAAACATGGGAGCAGTCTTTCCTTCAGCCCTTCTGAATACCTTTAAAATAAGGGCACCTCAACTGCTTCTATCTCCTATCTTAGCTAATCCAGGTGGTGAAGGAGAGAGCTTAAGGGTACAGTGCTTAAATGGTGACTGCTATGGGTTCGTTTTTTTTTACTATAGATACATACCTACATATCTACACACATATATATGTATATATATGTATATTTCTACATATATATATACACACACACACACAATGGGTCACTCTGGAATTAGAAATAAAATAAATGTGACATTTTTTTTGGCTATAGTTTACCATACTCTGACAAAAATAATCTTGGGGTTTGTATCTTTTGGGCCAAACCCCAGTTCTGGCACTGGCAAAAGTTTCCTGCCCTCCCTCCCAGCTGTGTCCCAGGCACAGGGGGGTCAGCAGGCAGCTAGACAGGAGATCCTCACTTACTGTTATGATTTAGGGGCACAGATACCAATAAGCAAACCTGCTCTGTGGCCCAGCTGCCTGCAGTGGGGATGCAGCACTGATGCAGCGGGAAGTACCTGCTTCTGATGAATCCACATGCTTCTCCAGCTCCCACCCACTTCTACCAGCAACACATTTCTGCCACTTGAAAGGAGAAGGAGGCAAAGAGGAGCAGACTGTGAATTTTATTGAGGAGTTACAACCCGGTGCCCTCAGACAGAGCATGAAGCCAATGACCCGGCGCAGGGATCTCCTCCTGCCAGCAGACCTGCCAGCAGACACTAGTGTTCCCAGTACCCAGGCAGCCCTGTCTCCTCCTCACCCTGCCAACACAGAGCTGCTTCAGGGGACAGGAGCATGATACCCAGCACAGGAACACCCTGAGAGCACTGCAAGCAGCCCAGCGTAGGGCAGCGGTTCTGCATTTGCCCTCTGGCCACAAGCCCAGACCGGCTGCCTGCAAGCCCGGAAGGGCAAGGTCTCGTCCTGCTGCAGCTGCCACGACCTCGAGGCCCCAGTCACATCCAGGTGTTCAGGCTGCAGTGGTTGATCCCTGATGTCCCCAGCAGGGGCCACTGTGACATTAAGGAAAGCCAGCCTGCTACGCATGGCAGGGGGCCTTGGGCTCCTGCCCTTGCAGCAGCCCAGGGGCTCCTTGGAGCATCTGTCCTCCTCCAGGGCTGAGGCTCAGGCCTCCGAGGCGAGTTTGTAAAAAAACAGAATGGCTGTATGTGAAGAGTGAGGGGAGCTGGGGAGTGTCACTGTGGGGCAAAGGGCTGCTGTACACTGCAGTACAAAAATAAAGATATAAACCAGAAAATAAAAGGCAGGAGTGGAGTGTCAGGATCACATCCTCAGACCTCTGGCTTGTAACAGCTAGAGAAGGACAGAGAAAGACAGAAAAGACAATCAACAGCTGGGAAAAAAAAGCAACTGAGCAGGGAGGTGAGAGTGAGAAACAGGAAAAAGGAAATGACTGAGAAAATGAGCACAGAAGACAACGAAAAGAGATGAGGAGTGATGGTGGGAGAACAGAGAAAAAGGAAGGAGGAAGGGCAAGGTCTCGTCCTGCTGCAGCTGCCACGACCTCGAGGCCCCAGTCACATCCAGGTGTTCAGGCTGCAGTGGTTGATCCCTGATGTCCCCAGCAGGGGCCACTGTGACATTAAGGAAAGCCAGCCTGCTACGCATGGCAGGGGGCCTTGGGCTCCTGCCCTTGCAGCAGCCCAGGGGCTCCTTGGAGCATCTGTCCTCCTCCAGGGCTGAGGCTCAGGCCTCCGAGGCGAGTTTGTAAAAAAACAGAATGGCTGTATGTGAAGAGTGAGGGGAGCTGGGGAGTGTCACTGTGGGGCAAAGGGCTGCTGTACACTGCAGTACAAAAATAAAGATATAAACCAGAAAATAAAAGGCAGGAGTGGAGTGTCAGGATCACATCCTCAGACCTCTGGCTTGTAACAGCTAGAGAAGGACAGAGAAAGACAGAAAAGACAATCAACAGCTGGGAAAAAAAAGCAACTGAGCAGGGAGGTGAGAGTGAGAAACAGGAAAAAGGAAATGACTGAGAAAATGAGCACAGAAGACAACGAAAAGAGATGAGGAGTGATGGTGGGAGAACAGAGAAAAAGGAAGGAAAAGTCAGCATGATTAACATACACTGACTTTTAAGAGAATAACATTCAGGTCCCACAGCCACAGACAAGAAGACTTGAACAGAGGAAGAGAGAAATGTCAGCCAGCACTAACAAGTGCCCTCCACCAGGATGGAAAGTGGCACTGAGAACTTTTGGTTTAACAAGAGCCAGTTTTCCAGTATGAGAGAGGAAACCCCCTTCTAAAGCTTTCTGTACTCAGCCCCATGCAGCCCAGCCAGGCAACCTCCCTCAGCAGGAGGCAGAGCCCAGAGGCTCATTTTGCACACAACTGTGAGAACATCTGGAGCAGGGACTGGACACTTCTGCTCTGCCTTCGCCACCCTCTCCCACTGCGCTCTCACCCTGGCAGAGGTGGTGGGGGAAAAGGCCAGGGAAGTGAGAGCAAGGTGGGGAAAATCTGCTGCTGCAAACAGCTCTTGGGCTGGCAGGCAAACGAGCTGTGGGGAAGAGAGCTGGCATGTGTGTCAGGCAGACACGTGGCAGACTTCTCCCCCCCATTCCCTGTGCCACCCCTGCCTGCTTTGCATTCATTTCCACCCCTCTTCATTTCTACCAGCTGCACTCTCCATTCTGCTGCCAGAGCCTCTGGTCTGGAGCAGTAGGACCTGCTTGGAGGGTAAAGGCACACACAGGATGAGAATCAGGAAAGACACTTTAGGGATGAGTCAACCTCCCCTCCCTCCCCAAGCTCTATCAAATGGGGCCATACCCACAAGAGGGAAGTGAGTCATTCATGCAGAGCTCAGGCTGGCAAGAGCTGAGAGTGCGGACAGGTAATGAGAGCTGAGAGTGCCAACAGGTAACGTACCTGCAGAGGAGGAAAAGTGAGGAGCAGAAAGAGGCAGGGACCACTCTGAGCCCTGGGGGGCAAAGAGAGAAGAAGGAAGGATGCTGGAGGCCTGGGAGTGGGGCAGGGTGGGAGGCAGTGGATGGAATTGGAGGGGAGCAGGAGGGAGGGTCAGAAAGAGTTTAGTGCAATATCAAATAGATGGACAGTCTGCAAATAAAATTATAACCATAGATAAACCAAGCAGTCTAAAATATAAAGCAGCAGCCACAGTAACAGTTCTCCCCTGTGGGATTTATCTCCAAAGAGACTCCTACTCCTGGAGAGGACATCCCCCACACCCCACACCTGCCCTAGTCCTTCCCTGATGCTAGCTGTGAGCTCTCACCAGAAAGGTGGATGGGTCTATGCTTGGGGGGTTATTTTTATCATTTTCCTCAAGGATTTGCTGCACCTTTCTCCTCTGCTTCTGCTTCTGCCTCCTCCTCCATCTCCTGCTCTTCCTCCTCCGGGTCCTCCTCTGTGCTCTGTGGCCCAGCATGCAGGACAAAGGGAAGAAAGAGTGGAGATACTTGCAAGACGAGCCATGGCAGTTCTCTCTGATACACAAGGGAATAAACACTGGAATGCAGTCATGACACTGGAATAATAAAGACACCTTTCCCCAGCTCAGGATCAGGGAGCAAAGAGGCTTTTCTTCCTCTGGAGCATCACATCAGGGCTATCTAACCCAGTTACAAGTGCTGTGATCCCATTACCTAACAAATGCCACCAGTTGCTAGTGCTCCTTCCTGTATCCCAGGAGTCCACAGGATGTCACAGACTGCCACACATCCTTCCCTCAAAAGGGGAGCAGGTGATACCATGCTCCTCAGGCTGGGAGTCAGCAAAAGGAAAGAGAAGACTGCAAAACCTTCAGGGAAATCAAACCCTATCAGCAGTGACACACACAGCATGGTCATGAGGAGTCATGAGGGGGATGTTAGAGAAGCATGAGAAGAGCCAGGGTCACTTGCTAAAGCCATTTGCTGCACACAGCCGGACACCACCTCTCTCAACAGATGCACTCCTCCTTTTGGGCAATGGGTGTAATGCCACGGTGCTAAACACCTGGACAAGCCCCTGTATTTCACCACTGAGGTGCCCCATGGTCACAGCAGAAAGAGAGGAAAGAAAGATGGAATGAAAGATCTCATTGGCAACAGCAGCAGGGCCACAGCAAAGTTGGTCTCACCTTGGCTTTGTGGCTGGGCTCAGAGCTCAGGCCACTGGGGGTGTTGTACAGCTCTTTGGAGACCACACACAGGAACTCTGTCTGATCCTCATTCCCATAGTTCACAAGCTAGAAAAGACAAGAGCAAGAATAACAAGTACCTGGCACTGCAAACATCCACTCCACCTGGAAAGCAAGGCAGAAAGCCCACCACAGAGCATGGAGTCCAATCCATACACCAAATAGAAAGGCCTCATAACTAAGCTGAGGAGGCAGAGCAGAGAACCAGGAGATGAGTCAGTCAGGATACAAACCAGCTTAACCTCACACAGGTTACCTCTAAAACTCTAGAAAAGGGACAAGAAAGAGCCAGCACCACCAATGACTGACCTAATATCCTCAAGGAGGGAAGGTCTTGCCTGGGGACTGTACGGTATCCATGATCTTTTCCCCAAAAGACAATTCCTTCCCACCCTCCTCTAACTTCTCCATACCTGCTCAAAGCGCCACCCATCCGACATAGTGGAAACCATCTGAGTGAGTTCCTCCTCCTGGCACTGTAGCACACGGTAGACATGCTTAGGAGGCACCTGACAGCAAAATTGCAGAGCATGTTGACAACAGTTAGAGGCTCAAGCCCCTCCTGCAGAACGAAGTGGTAGTACCACTCCCTGACAGACCTGCTCTCTTCTCCATGTCCCAGGTCAAAGGGGAGTGAAAACCACAACCCAACTTTCTACTGTGCTGTCATGGGGAGCAAGAACAATGATGTTTCTTCTGGAGAGGAGGGATTGAACTGAGTGCTTCCTGCATTGTTCCCAGAAGATACTGGGCTCTTTCGACGGGCATTTGCATTTGCCATTATAAAATCATGTATGCAAATGCCACAAATGCTGATGGGGGTTTGTGAGCACAAAGTGACTGCATAGCTAGGGCTTACAACCTGAGGCAGACATGATGAAAAGTGAGATATCAGCCAACACTCCCACAGAAAAGAGATTTTAAACAGTTATTGGCCAAGACAAGGTGTGATTGTACCAAAGGACTGATTCTTTCTGCCTCATTGTCTGCACTTACCTCTTCCACAGACATGTCTTCCCCAGTTCCCTCCAAGTTTTTCTACAGGTATCCCCATGCTCTTCACTGTGATTACACTCCCAGGACTCCCCACACCAGAGTGCCCCCTTCCATGACACCTTCGCTTTCCTCAGAAACACTCTTCCATATCCTACAGCAACCAGCTACCTTCTTCCAAAAGCTAGAGGAACAGATTTGGTTTCAGGGGCTACACCCAGCATTACTTCTGGGGATGCAAAACCAGACTGTAACTTGTTTATTGTAACTAAAATGGTGGTAGCCTGTCCCCCACAAGCTTTTGCTATGCAGACATCAGCACATACACTCCAACCAGTTGCTTCTCCCTGTTCCCTGCTGCTTCTCCCAAGTCTGCTCTCTCTCTAGACTCACCCCTCCCTTTCCACATTCCCTCCTTTACGCACCCCACTCACTCTTTC